AAACATTTCACTTCAAATCAGTCATGCTCGTGTAAAACGGGTTTAGTCCCGCCACCACTTCAAAAACAAATCAAAACATGCTTTTAAAACAGTACGGGCATTACCATAAATTTACTTACCTCACTCGCATAAAACCGAACACTCAATCCACGTACTAAACTGACAGAACGATCGAGAACCTAATCAAAATATTTCAAGAATTAATACCGGACTATCACAAATTCACACTGAACACTTCATTAGGATCATTCCTAATCACAATGCTATTTCCTATCAATCTCCACATTATCAGACATCTCCAAATTCATTCTTATATCACATACTAATCACTTAAATCCCCGTTAAATGTTGGCCCTCGGGGTGTGAACAGTGTCGGTGAACAGTACCCGTGAACAGTACCCCGACGTGAACAGTAACTGCACTTCCAAAAGTTGGCCCAAACACTAGCTAATCTCACGGGGTTTTCTCTCCAAAAATCACAGCAGACAATTAACACTCAATCACATAAATTCCACTTGAATCAATGCTTAAATCTCATCCTAAAGCTACCGGAATTATCCCCAATTTTCTATCAAATTCGGACAACAATAGGGTAGCAATTAGATGACTAATTTCAAGCTTAAATGGCTGTCAACATACCATAATTCTCCAGCTAAAACCGGAGCTGCAGGGGGAAGAGAAGCCGACGGCAATTTGGAGAAGAAGCTCACGGCCTACCCAAAATTGGGGAAATAAGAGCAATCAAAGTTAACCCAAGCCAATTCAAGCAAGAACAAAGGAATTAGGGGCTGTTCTTACCGAAAAAAATGCCCAGAATCACCCACAATCAAGAGCAGCTAGCGGAAGGACAAAGCAGAGCAGGGCAGATCCGGCTTTTCCAGCAGGGGGGGAAGATTTCTGGGTTCTAGGTGCGTTCTAGAGCAAGAAAGGAAGGAGAAAACCAAGCTTTCTCACCGGTTTCTCAAGGCATGGCTGGGTTCCTCTTTTTTTTTTTTCTCTCGGGTGCAGGGGGGGTCGGGAAGAGCAGAACATGCGGGCTGGAGAAGAAAGAAAGAAGGAAAAAGGAGAAAAAGAAAAGAAGTCATCCTTATCCAAAATCTTTCCCTCTTTAAGTCTCTCAACTTTCAAACTTTTGGCTATTAAGCCCAAAACAATATTTTCTCACACAAAAACCCTTACTTAAATGCTAAAATAGCACAAAATTTTGGGGTATTACAGCAATGTCGATTAGTTTATAGATAAATATTTTATAATATCATAACCAACTCATTAAGAAAAAAATCTATAAATTACTAATAGAATATTAAAAAATTACTGATAAACACAACTAGGAAAAGGATTAATTCAAACCGACCATATACAGACCGAATCATGTCGGTCCGTATATATATAAATTCAGACCAATATCGGTCTGAATATATTAAGGTAGTACCATATTCATCCATCAACATATTTAGACCATTTTCGATTCGTATATTTATGGCAAGAATTAACAGTGCAAACGCGCCAATAATATTCAGACTGATGACGGTCTGAATATTTTTTCGTAAAAAATAAATATTAAATAATAAAAAAATTAAGAATAAAATATTATTTAAATGAATATAAACAGACCGTATTCGGTCCGTATATATAACTCAGAAATGCCGATGTCCGTTTAATATTCGGATCGATTTCGGTTTGAATATCCATAAATATTCAGACCGAAGATGGTCCGAATATTTTTTTGTAAAAAATAAATATTAAATAACAAAAATTAGAAATAAAATATTATTCAAATAAAGATATACGGACCAAAATCGATTGGTATATATCATGAGTAAAGTGCCAAAATTCACTGAATTTACGGACCGTTACCAATATGAATATTTATGGATATTCAGACCGAAATTGGTCTGAAAATAGGCGTCAGAGATTCCCTGAATCGATGAGATGTTGGGGCCCATTGTAAGATTTATACGGACCGAGATCGGTCCGTATAAGGTCCCTTATAGCCTTCATCCTCATGGTGCCCGTCCCCTCCCCTTCTGCAATGCATTTGCGATTTTCCTCTGTTTTTTCTTCCTTTTTTCTTCCTCTGTGTTGCAAGCTTCTCCTCCTCCAATCTCTGGCCAACCACAGAGGCAAATAACGTTTTCCCCGCCGGTTAGTGGCGACGATCTCGTTGGTGTATT